TTTGGGGGACAGTCCCTAGCATGTCACGGACGCTCAGTAAATGGTTGCTCCTTTGACCGAACCCCTGCACCCAGGCACACGTGCGCTGGGCTCAAGCCCCTTGTGGCAGGCCTCATAGCAGATTTATTTTCCTTTTCCTCTTAGCAGCTAGGGTAGCGTTTTGCATATACACGTATTAGCTTAAAAAGTGTTGAAGGAGGGGGTAGGTGTCGTCGGGGTCCCTTATCCAGGGTTGGCCCCCTTGCTCTGGCTCCGGCTCTCAGCCTGTGAGCCCTGCTCAGTGGCAGCCAAAGTGGCCTCTCTTGTGTGATCACTGCCTGGTGACTCCTCTGAGGACCATCGGAGACACCTTTCCCAGGTTCCTCCCGTGGGGTCGGGACCCATAGACATCATCGCACGAATTCTCATTTCCTCCAATGATGCTGCAGGTGTCAGCCATGCAAATCGCGTCCCTGTTACCTCAATTCACCCCGTGTCCTCTCTGGGCCCAGTCTTTGCTCTGACTCTTTCCTCTTTCTGGACTGCCCACTCCAGCTGTATCTGCATGGCCCAAGTTTTAGCCATGTTGTAAAATCCACCGTTAATACTGCTTCTTTCCGGAGACTCCTTCTCCAAGCAGGAGTCCCCCATATGCCCATAAAACATTATTTGAGTCTTTGCCAACAGTAGAAATGATCTAGCTACTGCCTGCCTCTCTGGCTGTACCCTCTGCGCAGAGATCTGCACATAGAAAATATCCACTGAACAGGTCTAGTTTAGCCTCCTGGTAGGCTGGTTGAAGGGTTCGGGCCGCACAACGTGAGTTTCCCAACAGCGGTCTGAAGTGCTTGCTTTTAACAGCAGTGTGAGAGAAATGAGTTGTTTTCCAGGGAGTTTTTTTTTTAAGGACAGTTCTTTAATGGGGTCCTTACTGCTTTGAACTCTATTTTATAGTTATCGATTTGGGGGATTATAAAAGTAATACAGGGTTATTATAAGAATGCCGTCATTATAGAAATGAGAAATTTGGATGGTGCAAGCATCCCTGCTTCAGAAAGAACCTCTGTCAACACTTGGCATAGATTCTTTCTTTTTGGTTGCTCCTTGGTGTTTTGTCTCCTGTCCCCAAAGAGGAGGGTCCATGACCACCTCTCCAGGCCACTGCCAGCCTCTGGTCTAGCACCTGCTGGGGGGCAGTGTTTGCTCAGCTTCAGAGGGCGGGCTGGCTCAAGGAGTGTGGCTTCCAAGGGCAGCAGTAGTGCCCAGAGACACAGCAGCGTGTCGTGGGCAGAGTTTGGGCACTGCCATCTAGAACCTGAGAGAACTGGGGCTGAGCTGTGTTTTCTCATCTGTGCAGTGGGGATAATGAGACCAGCCCTACCTGTTTTAGGGGGAGATTGGGACTGAACAGTGAGCCCATGGATGGGAACACACTCCAAACCCTTAATTCAGTAAATTCTAATTTTTACATATTATCATTTGGTTTTGAAAAACTGTTATTGTTACCACCAAATAGGTCCCTTGGGATTCTGAGCCAGTAAACTTGGAGATTTAGTCCTAATTAGTATTTCATTTTCTTGTCATTACTTACACACAACAGTCCAACGACAGGAGCTGCCATGAGCTTTGCAGATGGTAGCTGTAGAGCAGGCCTCACTGCGGTCCCCATCCAGGAGTGTGGTGTGAGCTCTAGAAGTTATTGTCACGTGTGTCCGGGGCCCTCGAGACCCACGAGAAGAGCAGAGAGTAAACTAAAGCAGCGTGGGTCACACGTCCCCCAGGCCAGTCTATGCCAACAGTTTGCTTTCCCCTTGCAAAGTGGGTCAGCCCCCATCCTGTCCAAGTGTGGTGGGAATACTGATGCTCTTAGACCCCGCTCCACTGCCCCCCGCCCTGCTGACAGAGGGAGCGTGTTTCTCTTGGGGTCTTCAGGGTGTCAAGCACATGGGTGCTGTGGAAGGCAGGGATAGGTGACGTGGTGTGGGTGATTGGAAGGCTGGAGAGAGCTGTGATCTGGCACAAAGGGAGGTAGAGCAGAAGAGAAGGCCTTGAATAGGACCCGCCTGTTCCCCAGCCCTCCCCCAGCCCACAGTTCCACAGCTGTGTTAAGGGCATTGCCACACCTTCAAAATGGCGCTCTCCCAGGCCAGACTGGCTTCGGCGGCCGGATTGTCCCGCACCCCTGCCTGGCTGAGGTCGTCCATCCAGCTCACGATGGGATGCTGGGCCTCGGTGAGAGAGAGCAGAGCTACCTGGAGAGGAGCATGGGTGGCGGGGGGACTTCTCTGGGACCTTGTCATGGTAGCGCTCTGTAGGTTTCTGTACTGGCACAGGCCTTGTGACGGTGGGAGAGGGGATGCCTGGGGATTGGGAGGTGCTGGTAGATAGGCTTCCTCCTTTGGGAATCTTCTCCCCAGACCTCGGTGACCCTACTGTTCTGGTTCTTCTCCTGCCTCTCCGACCCACCCAGGGTTTCCTTCCTTCTGGAGAGGCAGTGGCGCTTATGACACTCGGCTTCCGGAGGCCGATGCTTGTGTTCCAGGCCCAGCTCAGCCTCTTCTTTGCGACATTAGACAAGTCCTTTAAGCTCTCTGTGCCTTAGTTTCCCTTCTGTAAAATGAAAATAGCAGTAATGGCTCCTACCTCATTGGGTTGAGAGGATTTAATTGGTTCATAGACCCAAGATGCTGAGAATAGCTCCCGGCACTCTTAAGTGCTATCCTGCGTGTCAGCACTTAGTACTTTTATTGTCCTTTTAGGGGGCCTCTGTCATGTTATCCACCCCACGCAGAGGCATACATGGAACGATTTAGTCCTTGACCCTGTCTTCATTGTCAGAGGGGTCACGTTCACTCTGAGGGCTCCAGCCATCACCAAGGTCCTCGGGACCCTGCGATTTTCATATCCCAAAATGTTTTCTTTTTGTCATTATAAGAAAAATGCATGCACGTAGACTCAAATTTGAGAAATATCTCCCCCAAAAAAAGAATAAAGGAGAAATTTAAAAAATCATTGGTAATACCTTTACCCAGCAACAACTACTATTAATATTTTGATGTACGGCCTTCCCAGTTATTATGAATTCAACACCCAGGATAACCCCAGTTTTGTTTAAAAAGAAAAAAAATGCATATAATACTATTGTTTATATTCTGCTTTTGTCACCAAATATACTGCGAGCATTTTCCAATATTATGGGAAAATAACCAAGTTCCTATCTTTACGTGGAAACTTTTTTCCCCAGCTTCAACATCGCATATTGCAATTTGGCCGTGGCGGCACCTCGGATGCGACACAGCCAGAGCCGAGCTCTTGGTCGCACGGGCTGCTGCCTTTGGCCCTCACCCCTTCCCCAAGTCTGTGTCCCACCCGTGGCTCAGTGCCTGTTACCATCTCGATCCCTCCTACTCCCACCGTTCCCGTGGTCTCCCGTTTTGGGGCTCTGTTGTATCAGTCTCTGTTGTCTTGCCCGCATCACGACAACTCTAGTTCTTGTCCCGATCACCTCTCACCTTGACTCTGATGCTAGTGCTACTTTTTTTCACATGGGACCCATATTTGTTATGGAACACAATCCCCGAGCCTTCTCCCTGGCTTTCCTCACGCTGGCCTCTCTGGCTGCAACCCGTCCTGCCACACTTCTGCCAAGGGGGCTCCAGAGGCATCGTGCCATCCTGCCCGTGACCTGCAGGGTTACCTGCCTTCCCCCGCTCTGCTGTGGCCTGACACATCACAGATGCTTCCATCTGGCATTCAAGGGCCCTCCCTCCCAGGACACGGCTCATCCTGCCAACTCGGGCACGTCTCCGCTGTCTCCTGTGCTGTGTGTTCCAGCCGGGCTGGGTCCTGATGGCGCCCTGTCTCAGCAGCGTGCTCAGGCTGTTCCCATTGCCCGGAACGCCGTCACCCCCCACCCCTCCGGGAGCTCTGCCAGCCTGAAGGCCCACTGCCAGTGTACAGCCTCCCTGGCAGGTTTCCTGATTGTCCCCAGACAGGCAAGCTTTGTCCAGGCTTTGAACCCCCTGCACTTGGCTTGCCCTTCCCTTGGCGTACCTCGCCTCCTCTAGCTAGGGGTGTGCTTTGCACGGGCATCTGGGAAGAGCAAGGAGTGAGACAGACCTCGTTTGAGTCCCAGCTTCTGCCTTTTTAGCTGTGTGACCTTGGATAAGTTATTACCTCTCTGATATTTGTTTTTTTCCTCTGTAAAGTGGGAGCCAACACTGTATCATGACTTAGGTTCCGTTTTTAGGAAGATTCAAAAGGTGCATGTCAAGGTTCAGCAGTTTCCGCGTTGTGGTGATAGCTCAAAAGCAGCAGTTTATCATAACTTGTGTCCAGGGCTCCTGGTGTTTGCCTCCTCGGGGTGGTCCATGGAACCTAGCCTGCCTGTGATGGTGTGAAAGGCCATTTGAATCCTGGAGAATTGACTTGAATAGAGAGCACAGGTGCCAGACCCTTGACCTGGCGGGAGACGAGGGCATTGGTCGTCCTGGTTCAGGGTGATTTGCAGCATGGTCCCACTGCCTTGGCTTTGATAACTGAGGACGCTCCCCAGGCACCTCTTCTGCAGAATTTAAGCTTATGAGGCCTCTTTCACGTCATCTGTTGGAACACAGAGGCCACTCTTGCAAGGAGCCAGGGGCTTCTTTGAAGCTGGCCAGCCAACACCCAGGTCTTCAGAGGAAATTGGTTGAAAGGGAATTCAGGGCAAATCCAATGAAGCTCAGGCAGTAGCTGGGAAAGAGAAACGATTCCCTTGACCCTTCTCTATCAAGGAAAGGCTTTTAGTGAACACCTAACAGGGTAGGGTCGGTCGGGGGTGGTGTCTGGCATAAATGGGTAAAGTTGCAAGAGGAACCTTTAGATGTCGCCAAGTTCCTCCCTTGCGTTTCAGCAGGGCTGTGCCTAAAGCTGTTCTAAAGGTTGAGCCACCACCTCGCTCTTCCCCCAAATTGATTGGGAGCTTCTGACCACCAGTACCCCCTCCCCAGTGACAGCCTCTGCTGGTTTTTCTCTTGCAGCCAGGCGGCACTCCCGGGTCCGGCCCAAGGTGACTCTACTGAACTATGCCTCGCCGATGAGCACGGCCAGTCGGCCACTGAACGAGATGGCCCTGACGCCACTGACAGAGCAGGAGGGGGAGGCCTACTTGGAGAAGTGTGGCAGCGTGCGGCGGCACACGGTGGCCAACGCCCACTCGGACATCCAGCTGCTGGCCATGGCCACCATGATGCACTCAGGCTTGGGGGAGGAGGCTGGCAGTGAGGACAAGTGCCTGCTCCTGCCGCCCAGCTTCCCCCCGCACCCCCGGCAGTGCTCCAGTGAGCCCAACATCACCGACAGCCCCGATGAACTGGAGGAAGGGGCGGGTGGCAGCCAGGAGGGCTCAGAGCTGAACTGTGCTTCCCTCAGCTGAGTGGAGATCTCCAGGGCTTCCCAGCTCGTGCTGTGCAACCAGGATGCAGACCGCTCCATCCCAGTGGGCAGCCGAGGGGCTCTTCCTCTGGGCAATGTGGCCTTATTTCTTTTAGGGTACAGGCCTGGTTGAAATGCCCTGGGGGAGACCCTTGTGGTAAACCTCTTCATTTTGGTGACTGTGACCCCCCCTCTTTGCAGCCACAGAGACCCAGTTGCCTCATGGTCACTTTCTGACTTCCAGCCTTGCCTGCCTGACTCAGATCCTCATCTCTGAGCCTTTTCCCCCCCAGATGTTGGACTGCCAAGTCCTCCCAATGATACAGCCAATGCCCTCGGCATGACTATAGCCGGAGGTTGTTAGGACCACACACAAAACCACCAAGGATGTGCTGGTCTTTGGGGTTCCCCTGTGGGTTCCCTGTGATGCAGAGGCTTGTGCGTGAAGAGAGCTAGGAGGGAGGTAACCCCTTTGCCCTTTCCTTTTGTGTAGAGTGAAAGTAGACTGCACTGCTACCACATGGCTCTGGGAATGTGGCTTCCTTATTTTAGTTTCAGAGTTACTGGGAAAGAGCTGCCCCACTGGTAGGGGAGGGTCTGTCTGCCTTTACTGCATCCAGATCCTGTGCTGCCTGCACGAAGGCCTTTGGCTTCTGGCCCCGGAAGGTGGCAAGGCTGGAGCAGCCCCGTCTCTCATTGAGCGGTGCATTTCCCTCTCAAGTTTTCCCCCAAGCTCAAGGAACTAACCTCCGGAGGAGTAGCTGCTGCCTGAATCTCTCTCTCATTTCAGAAAGGGACCGTTTCTTATTGTGGGTGTGAGAGGCCGGCTGATATCAACCAACTAGTCTGTACCTGGATTTGACTTGAATTTTTAACATGTGTATTGTTTCAAAAAAAAAAAAGTTTGCAAATATTTGCACGTAGGATCTTTCACTGTTCATTTCTAATGGGGTGTGTTTTCAAACTAAAAAACAAGCAAACCCCCTGGGAAAGGAACCTGGGAATGGTCCAGATAAAGTGACCCATGGCGGGCAGGGCTGTTATGCTATAGAGCTCTGGAAGCAGCTGGATTTGAATCCAGAATGCCCTGTGTTTGTGAGTGTCGTGGTTTCTAGGAAAAACTGCCTTGGAGTGGGGGGACTTCGGTTTGCTTCATGGGCAGAGGATTGTAGCAAATGGAATGTTTCCATGCTTCAAAGTAGGGGGGGATGTGGGCAGGAACTTGCCGAGGGATGTTTATTCCCTGTGATTAAAGAAGTGCCCAGAAATGCCTGGAATTTCTACCATGTGAGGTCTCAGAGTGCCATTTGGGGACAGCGACTCTGGCACTGTGCTGGTCCTTGATACTGCTCCCTGAAGGTCTGGGGCTCTTTATACCCCTTGAATCCCTGCCCGTCTCTCTGTATTTGCTGTCAGCCCCACTGGTAACGGCTCTAGGAAAGGGAACGGCTCCCCTGACCGTCCCGTTAGTGTTTATGATATCTCCAAGACGTGAGCCACCTTGGCTTCCAGTATGGCAAGCAGGGCTGGGGAGAAGGTGAGGTTCTGTTTAAGCTGCCATCAGGAGAAGAGACCTTCTAAACTCATCTAAGTCTTGATGGCATTTCCCTTCTGGGTGAAGACCTGAATTATGACCAGAGTTGTGCTCGTGATGGCTTATAATTTAGAAATTTTATTTCAAAAATCGTTTCATTTTCCTCCTCCTAAGAGAGTGATAGAAATGTCCAAAGGAGATCTTCTGAGAATTAAAAAAAAAAAAATCTTTATATATGTGTTTCATAAAGTCCCTAAATTGACTAACATGCATTAGCAAATGGGACATCAGTCGGTAGCAACATGTTGATTTATTTAACTGATGGCTACTGTCCTTATTAGTACACTTAGCACTTGAGACTAGTATTTATCGATCCAGGCAAAGTAATTAATTGTGCTTGGGTTTGCTTTTTTCGTTTATAAGGTTAGCCATATATATATATTTTTTTTTTTAATGCTTTTTCCATGTCTTTAATGTCCCTGATGAGGAGAGCAGTCATCAGTTAAATATATAAGCTCTCGCACTGAGAATGAGAGTGTCAGTACAGACCCAGTGTACTTAGTTGCTGATGACTGTTAGCCAGTTTACACCTTTACCATTGATGTACACACTTGATATTTGTGCAGTAAACAGACTACCTATAAAAATTTTGATGTTTATGGGCATTTTAGCCATCAGAGCTATTGCAGGAATAATAGCTGTAGTGTTTCTAACCACTTTTTCTCCCATTTATGAGATTCATTTTTGTTATTTATGCTAGAATTTTCCTGAAGCTGAAGTTTAATGACAGGAAGCAATCACTCTCAACTCCAAGTGAGCTCACGAACCAAAAACCTGTTGTGTTGTCTGTTACCAGAACGGAGTCAATAAACATCATTTTGTACGTGTTACCCTGTTCTCGTGCTGGGTGCTTCCAGGATGTCTTGACCGAATTTGCAAGTGTAGCAGGCAAATTAGATCTTGATGCATCCTGTCCTCAAACCCTCTGCACCTGCGTCTTCTGCCTCCTCATCCCTTTCCCTGTTGCCTCCACTCCAGAGGTAGGCAGCAGCCCCAGGCGACCTCCCCTGGGTTTTGTTCTCCATCCTACACTAAACCGGCAAGTCATTTCCCGGAGAAACAGCCTGTCTGTGGACCTTAGAAAATACTGAAAAAAAGTCTGAGAAGCCAAAGCTCTTTCTAAAACCAGCGTGGTCTCTCTCCCCAGAGTGTTTGACCTAGGGGGACACTTACCGTATTTACTCATGTTCTGTCTCCTCATATATTCTGACTGTTTGGCAGAAGAAACTTAGATATTTTACTCCCTGCATAAATACTCCCAGGAGGGCAATAGCAACATTAGTCTGAGGCCCCTGAGGGCTTAATAAGAGACTTTGAAGAGCTGTGACCTGAACTGATTAACAATCCTGTAGGTTGTAAAACGGGTGTGTGCACATTTTTGTTGAGCCCTCACAGGTTGTAACTATGGTAAACAGCCACGGCGTGGTCTCCCTCAGTAGGTTCCATGAGCGCACCCATGACCTCGCAGTGCACCACCATTCTCGTTTACCCACCCACTCATCTACCGTCACATATTCGTGGAGCTGCCACTGTGTAGGCACTTTTCTTGGTACTAGGGATACAGTGATGAAGAAATAACCAACGTGCCTGCTGTCTTGGAGCTTACAATCTAGCGAGGAAGGCTGGAAATCAGGTCAACACAAGCATTTCAACTAACGAACAGCCCCAGACAAAATGAGATGGCAAAGTGCCAGTGGCTGGAGGGTGAGGAGAGGATGACCGTGGGTCGGTGGCTGGAGGTCTCTCAGAGTTGGCTGCGCTGAGACCTCAGTGACAGGGGGCTGGCCTTACCGTCTGCTTTGTTCCCAATGGCTGCCATAATGAACTACCACAAACTTAGTGGCTTGAAACAACGCGCATTTATCATCTCATGCTCCTGTTGGTTAGTCTGACATGGGTCTCCTGGGGCTGAAATCAAGGTGGTGTCAGGGCTGCGTTCCTTTCTGGGAGCTCTAAGGGATAATCGGTTTCCTTTGCCAGCTTCTAGACGCTGACCATATTCTGTAGATCGTGGCCTTCCTCCATCTTCAAAGCCAGCAACAAATGGTAGGTTGAGCCCCTCTCACGTCACGTCACTCCAACCCCCATTCTGCCTCCCTCTTCCACTTTTAAGGACCCTTTGTGATGACATCGGGCCCATGCAGATAATCCAGGATAGTCACCCATCTCAAGGTCCTCAATTGTATCTGCAAAGTCCCTTGGGACGTGGACGTCTTTGGGAGAGGTCATTATTCTGCCTACCACACAATCCTTAGTTTCTGCTGCTTCCACTAATTACTCTTTTGTGGGTAGAAAGCTCCAGACAGACCACCTTAGCTGCTCAGGAAACTCCCTGTCCACCTGCCCATCTGAAGGTCACATTTCAGTGAAATCTTATGGGAAAAGGGTAGGAAAGCAAGATGGACAAAAGGTGTCCATCCTGAGGGTTCACCTTGCGTTCGTGCCAAGGAGCAGTGGTAAGTTGGCCGAAGCTCTTCTGAAAGTCCCTAAGTGCCCTTGGCCCCTCTGCTGGCCAGAGATCCTCTGGGGTCCTCTCAGACATGCTTCCTCTGGCTTCCATCCCTTCTCAGCTGGACTGAAGATTTCTGTGCATTCCGCCCCTGCTGCCTCCTATGCTGACGTCGCTCCCAGTAGGAGAAAGGCCAGGCACGTGGTATGCTGGGGAGCCTGGGGAGACTGCAGCGCACAAGCGCGCACGTGCTGGTCTCAGGCTCCGTGGAGACAGGGAGGCCTGGCCTGAGGGCCTAACAGCCTGACCCCCCTCCACCACCCCCATTACCCGGACTCCCACAATGAGGATGATTCTGGGGTCCTTCACTCAAATCTTTTCCTCACTGCCTGTCTCATATGCATGTCAGGCCCTTATCTGCAGTCTGGACTTCTACGACATGGTACTTCCTGTATTTGTCTCCCCTGTGGACATCCCCATGTGATCTTTCTAAGGTGCATGCCCTGCTTAAAACTTTTCCTTGGCTTTCAATAATAATCCACACACCTGAACTTGACCTCAAGCAACTTCACACGCTGGCCCCACCTACCTTTCTGGCTTGATTGACTGATCTGTGACTCCCCTGTGAGCCAGAGACCAGCCCCAGCCTCACCAGGAAGGAGTTCACTATCCCAGGAAGGAGTTCACTATCCCAGGAAGGAGTTCACTATCCCAGGAAGCTCCTTCCACCTCCTCGCCCCACGCCATACTTCCACTGTTCCCTCTCCTGGGGGGCCCTCCCCACCGCTTCTCCAGGAGAAGGAGCCACTTCTACTTCCACATTCTCAGGAGCTATCCCTGGAAGACAAGGACAGGTAGGGTTTACATTTGCATGCCTGCGACCTTGCTATACAGAAAAGGTTCTAAGTCACCTGCATTGAACAAGTTTTTTTTTTTGTTCGCTTTTTTAATATTGCCCTGGCTGGTCTTGAACTCCTGGGCTCAAACGACCCTCCTTCCTTAACTTCCCAAGTAGCTGGGATGACAGGTGTGCACTACTGTGCCCACCATTGGAAAAATTAATGGGATGGTATGATTCTGATCTCCGCCCCTTCCCTCCCAGGTATTTGCAGAAAGGACCTTCTGCTTTCCTTTCCCTCTGGATGGCGACCTTCCCCACACTGCTCTCTCCAAACACGCTCCCATTGAGGCTGTGAGGCCAGGTCACCCTGTGAACACAGGTGGGGGCTGGGTCTGAACCCCTCCCTGGAGCCCCTCCCCTTCCTGCTCCCCCAGTGGCTGCCACTTCCCTGCAGAGCAAGAACCCTGTCCACAGGGCTGATACTTTGCCCCAGAGCCAGCCTTTTTCTTGGCCTGCCCTCTCTGTCCGTGGTGAGAAACTGCTTTAGGACCTGGAGCACCTGCCCGAGGGAGAGTGAGAGCCCCTGTTGTTTGCCAGGGGCCTGTTTCTTTGAAGAAGCTCTCCTGCCAAGAAGTAAGAGGGAGTGTCCCGGCAGTGTGCTCAGGCAAGAACCTCTTTGCCCTAACCCTCCCTGCATCAGGGATCCAGCCTGAGGCCCAAGTACTATGCTGACCCTCATAGCAACCTTGCAAGGCAGGAATCATCCCCATTTTGCAGATGAGCAAACTGAGCCTTGGGTCCTTTAAGCAGTGGAGCTGGGTTCTTTCACTCTGAGTCTAGTGGTTATGCCTTTCTATTCTATGAGGTATCATGGCCTGATAGGAAATGAAGGAGGAGCCAAGACAGGGGCATGATCTCCTCAGCTTGCTACAAGGTAAGAGATGGCTTCAGAGTTTCCAGAAAAGCTGAGAAACAGAGCTTCATCTCGTTTCTCACTTCCATCCC